TTGAGTTTGGTTAGTAATTTGGTCTATTTGTGAGTTTAGTTTTTGTAGATTAAGTGTAGTTTGGTTTGCATAATTTTTTAAGATTTCTTTAGAACAATTTTTCCATAGGAATTTTTTTTCTTTTATATTGCTTATAAGATTTAGGTTTGTTGATAATAATTGAAAGTTTGAGAGTAATGATGTTATGATCTGAGTCAAAGTTGCAGTTTGGTAGGATGTCTGTATAGTCAATATTTGTGATACTAAAATTTGTCCAAATTTGATCTATTCTACTTTGGATGTTAGAGCGATGAAAGGTGAAGTTTTGGTTGTTTGGAAAAAAGAACCGATATGTATCTTTAAATTGATGACTGATTAGATACTTAATAAGTTGAGTTCTGGAATTGATGTCTTTTTAGGAGGTTTACGGTCGATACAAGGGTTAGAGACACTATTTAGGTCTTTCATAATTATAATTTTATACTTAGAGTCTTGGCAGAGTACAATGATTTTTTCCTGAATTTCTTTTCAGATTAATTTTTTTTCTTAGTGGGAATATAAATCTGAAGTAGTCTAAGGGGCATGTTTTTAAAATGAAGATCAATTCCTATAATATGACCATTGTAATTATGTGTACGTGCTACATATTTAAATATTTTGTTGTGGATAAAGTGGCTGACACCAGCTTGGTGTAGATTAGTATAAGAGCTCCAGAAGTTGGTGTATGTTTTTGCTTTACTGTTTATAAATTTACCAATTTTGGTTGGTAGGTGTATTTCTGAGAGTCCAAATATATCAAATAAGTTTTGATCTAACATTTCTTCAATAAGAAGTCTTTTTGCAGGTTGTAAGAGTCCATTTGTATTAAGTGAAGCGATTTTAATAGAGATTGAAATATATTTAAGTTCATAAGTGCAGGTGGTATTAGTAGAAGGTAGAATAGATGGAGGAGAGGTATCAATTGTAGTAGTAGAGAATAAAGTAGGTTCTGGTGTGTATGGAGGAGTTAGGAAAGGGTTGTGAGTTATTAAATAATTCTCGATATTATTTTTAGAGAATGACAATGATCTAAGAGGTAAATCTCGATATTTGCTAAAATTGAATTGTTTAATTATTTTATAGTTGGGTAGAAGATTGTCGTTATGTAGAAGATAAATATGTGTTTTTGAATTAGTACTATCAACTGAGATAGTTATATTATCTTTAAATTGTAACTGTTGAAGCAGTTGTAAAAAGGATCCTAGAGTTTGTAGAGTTGGTACTAGTGGGAGCTTATAATGAAGTAGAAACTTATTATAGCAGGGTTCAGAATCTATTATTCTGTACCCTCCTCCTAAAAAGGAGATTCTTGTTGTGAAAAAGTTTTTTGTTGAGAAGAGGGTTCTTGTTGAGGAGGAAGTGATGAGGTAAAGAATAGTTCATCTTCAAAATTGATAGATAAGAAGTTCATTTTAAATTTTTGTTTAAGGAATTCTTCTGCCTGGCGAAGTGCAGTTTCAGAATAATGTTTGGTAATAGATGACATAGATGGTGGGTTGTTTTCTTGTGAGTCTTTAATAAGATCGAAATAGGTAATAATGTGAGCAAGAAAGTCAGGATTGTTTGTAACTAGATCCATTGCTTCTTCTTTGGTTTTGTCATTGATACTGTAATTACGTGCTGCAGCTGAGTAGTATAGTGTAAGGTATTTGTAAAAATAGGCACTACGTTATTTTTTACTAAAAGTTACTTGATTCAATTTACAAGCTGTTTCTTCAGCTTTAGTTGTAAGTTTGTCAAGAGCAGGAATGGGTATTTGTATCTTGAAGGAAGCTTCATGTGGAGCATTCTTATTGAAGATAGAGGCATCAATTAGGAGTTCAGTCCAAACTAGTTCTTCTTCAGATAAAGATTTAGAGAAGGTCTCATAAGAGTACTTAAGCATATCTCTAAGCAAGCAGTCCTTGTCATGTAAGTTGAAGTTATTAGAATTGCGATATTCACATTTTTGATCCTTACACTAGAGTGTATGGAAATTGGTGAATTTAGTGGCATGAAATTTTCTATCACGTGTATTAGAAGGTTCAGAAAAATTAAAATTGGAAGTAATAAGGTCAGTTAAATAAGCTATAAATTGTCTGCGTATTTGGGCTTGTATATTAAGAAGAGTTTCTTTTTTATCAGGAGGGTTGGCGAATTGTTTACAATAGATAGGGTATTGCTTATCAAACCATTGGTTTAAATTCTCTTTAGAGTTGAAGAGAGATGGAATATAGAATTGTTTAAGGAATAGAGTCTTAGGGAAGTTGAATGATATCAATATATTATATCTGGAGTAGAGTGGTTGGCAAGCTTATTTAAGTCTCGCTTGCCTCGCTATAGTTTTAATAGCTTGCCAATATAATAGGCGAGTAATGGCAAAAATAGCGAGCTTTTAATGATTTAAAATTAGAATAGTTAATAAACATATTTTAATTTTATGATTATTAGCTGCCCAATATATATTAGAGCGGTATTTTATTTGAATCAATATAAAGTATAAATAAGTTACTTGTATTTTGTATAGTGATAATATAAAATATAGAATACCTTTATATAATTATTTTACTTTTGTGAAACCTTCTATTTTAAAAAAAATTAGCTGATTCTCTTTAAAAGCAAAAAGGTAATAAAGTTTTATAAACGCAATTTTAACATTATACCAAGTGCTAACAATTATTTTTTAATACTAACTAATCAAGTTATTATCTATTGTTATAAATTAGTATAATAATTTTCAATTTATCAAATTTGAGCATCACAAAATAAAAAATCCATATTTCTTATTAGACAGCTTTTTTGTAATATTTAATTTATAGCATTATTAGAATTATTATGTATTTCTATTGGTAAGTTTTAAATTGAAATTAGTAAATGCTTTATGATTGTTCTTTTTACATTAATTAGAAGTTTTAAATTAAATATTAATTAAACAGCTAGAGTTAAATTGGTTTTTAACGTGAATGAACTGGTTATTAATCAGACTGTTTATAGACTAGACTGGAACTGAACTAACCACTTAACATCTTTATATGCAAAGTATACTACTTTATTTCGTTATTATTTAATTGTATCGGTATATTTTGTTATACTATTTTCTGGTATTGTATAAAAATATAGTTTAAAGTATCTAAAAACTTCTATATAATATATAAGCTTTTAATATAATTTTAATATAAAATATTGTATAGATTAAGTTTAATTAATATCAAGACAATATTATATGAAAATTTATAATTAATAAAAATATGTATTTGTATACCTATATTTTACAGACCAAATCACCCTTCTCAGTAAATATTTAACGTACACAATTTCTAATAAATACTAATCATCTATAATTGAATTTATATCCCAATCACTATCATTATTTTCATCCATAACCAAACTTTCATCTATAAAATTATTTAATACAGTTTGATTATAAAAAATAGGATCATTAATATCAACCAATTGTTCAATTATAAACTTTGGTATTAAATTTGTAATATCTTCAAGTTCTGCTTGTTCTTCTTCAAAAAATGTCTCTAATTCATTTTTTAATTCTATAGAAGTTAAAGTATCATTAATATTATCATCCCAATCATCGATATTATAAATTTCTTCTGAATCTATTTCATTATCTTGTTTTGAATTTTTGATTTGAATTTCACAAGATTCATTTTGATGTAACCAGGTTTTAATTTGACCTATAATTTTTAATGTACTAGTTGTCATATTATTATGATATTTTGTATTATTATACCCAAAAATTGAAAAACATCTTTCTGCTTCTGCTGCATAAGGAACAAAAGAAAAAATACGTTTAACAAATATAATAAGAGCAGCATATTTTAGATTTAAAATATGGTCCCAATATATACGTGGATTATCTATTAGAATTCCTTTATCTAAATTAAAATCACCAATAAAATTTAAATAATCTGCTAGACCATTTTTTATATCTACTGCTAATTCTCTATTCCAATTCCATTTTTTTATAAGTTTAATTGCAGTTGTTTGTATATCTGATAATGTTGTTTTTTTTGAAATTGCAAATTTTTGAGTTTTAGAATGACAAAATATTGCTAGTGTACAAAGATCTAAATCAAGTTCTGCAAATTATTTATTGTAAACTTGACATATATAAAGCTTAAAATCATATTTATTAATATTAGTAAATAATGAAATTAGATTTTTTCCTAAATTAATTAATAATAAATATGCATCTGCTAATGTCGTATTTGCAGTTTCTAATTGTTTAATAGCGTTATTAACAGGTTCAAGTATTTTCATTAAAAGTTCATTATTTTTCCAATGATTTCTATCTTCAATAATTTGAATTATTTCATGGTCTAATCTAGTTTTTGATTATTTAGCTTCATTATGATTAAGAAGTTGATAAAATCCAGATTCATGTAGAAAAATTGATTTTATATTATTATATGCAGAGTACTAGCGAATATTGGTTCATGTTACTAATCCATGATTAATATCTGGTTGAGCTTGACGCCAATTTTCTAAACGTTTAGACCAAATATGTGATGTTTTAAAAAAGGTTACTAATCTGTTATTTTTTATCATAACTTCTCTTGCAATAGGATATGAGAGAATTCCTTTAGAAATAAGATTAAGCAAATGTAAAATACATCCAAGACCTGTAATCCAAGGATATCTTAAGTTTTAAAAATAAAATTAAATTAAAAATTATATATAGTATATTATAATAATATATATTAAAATTAATAAATTAATAATTTTAAATTTACCTTTCTGATATAATTTTGCGATATTTTTTCATTATATTTGGGCTATCAGTTACAATCCAACTAAATTGTTCCATATTTAATCCAATTTTATTAATTGCCTCTATAGTTATATTTGCAATATTTTCACTTGTATGACGTTGATCTTCAAATTCTTCTAAACCCAACATATGAATATCACCATAACTAGTTATAGCAAAAAATGCATAAACAGAACTATTTGAAATAGTTGTCCAGTCATCAAAAATTAATGTTAAATCTTTACAAAACTTTAAAGAATCTATAATTTTTAAAAGAATTCGACTATAAATTTTAGGAATTAAATCATGAATAAGTTTATATTTTAATAGAGGTAAGTAATTAATATTAAAAAGTGCAAGAAAATCACAAAAATATTTGTTTGCAATAATTCGAAAAGAAATACCACAAGTAATAAAAAATTTAACTAATGCTTCATGAATTATATCAATATTATCTTTAGATAAAGGATGAGTAAAATAAGAATTTATTGTTGTTTAAGATTGATTACTTGAAGTTTTTAGTTTTTTCAAAACTGACAAAGTATCTTCTGAATCTTGATCATTATTATCAATGCTTTTACTTTTAATACGAGAGGTAGTAGTTTTTTTAGCTTGTAATTCAATAAATTTAAATCTATCAGGTTGCGAAATATCTTTACAATGATCAATTACATGAATATACATTGCATCAACTCTTCCATCAAAATCTTTATTACAATAATTGCATTGAACGGGATATCATCTTGTCTTCAGATCACGCAATCCAGTCTTTTTAAAAGCATCCCAAATTGGATCTAAGAGCCCTATTTTAGTTAACTTTATTGATAATTTTATAATACGGTTTATTTAATATAGTTAAAAAAGCAAAAATCTTGTTAATAATATATGATTAAAATTTTAAATGTTTAATTATGAATAAATCAAAATACTTTAAAAAAATACGCTTTTATAATTGAATTTGTGTTCACTAATTTTTATAATTTGACTCATTTAAATTAAAATATATACTAATTAAAAGTTTTTATTGATTGTTTATTAATGTACATTATTTAAACTTCTAACTACGCATACCAATTTTTTATAAATTAGTACATGAAAATAAAATTAATAAGAAAATTTATTGAAACATTGCATTTTAAAACACTTATCTTTACTATTGCTATATAAAACTTTAATATAATTATCCCTTAAACCGTCCAGCGGCCAAATATGCCCGCTAGAATATATTTTTTTATATTTTTTTGTAATTGCTTAAA